AAAATTGCTATTTATTTCCCTGAATGTCTTTGTTCAAGATGCACATGCACTTTATGGTAAATGAGAAGAATCACTTGTCTCACCAGCCGCATAAAAGAGAGTTTTGCATCAGTGGACTGTGTTGATGTGCATGAAGAAAGGGTTAATAGAGAAAAAATGTTTGCTCACTGATTTATTCGAGGTCACAACCCTTGTGCAGTTAATTTAAGACATGTTTTAAACTGCGGTAGCAGGAAAATGATAAGCCATTTCTTCCTGAATGTAAGGATTTATGGGCTGCTGTAGAGATATAGAATAATAAAGTAAAATCACATCATAAGATGACCCAGGAGTATGTCAGCCATTTGGGGCAGGGACCATGACAGAACGTGTCGTCTCAAAAGTGTGAAAGGAGCCTTGTGAGGAGAGGATGAGGTGCTGAAGGAAAGCACGGGGGCTGGGGTGGCTCCTCCAGCCCCGCAGCTGTCGGGAGGCAGCAGCACCGCACCACGGCCGTGCCCCCTGATTTGACCCCGGACCCCAAACATGGACTGCAAACACCCCGAAACACCCGGGATGGAACGCGGGGTGAACACGTGTCCATGCATGAGGCTCTGCTTCTCAATTCGGTTTTGCTCCTTTACTCAGATAAAATCATCAATGGGAAATTGCCACTAAGGAAAGCAAAATTTATCTACCTAATATTAAATTATTGTTTGACGTTGATTACAAATATGTTACATAAATATTACTTAATCTAACTGTAAGTCTTGTAATTTGCCCAGCAGGATGGAAATCCAGCAGAGTCTCATGGTCCCAAAAAGCAGAGATGCTTCAGGCACTGTCAGTGGGCTGACATCCTGGGACGTACCCTGCAAACCAGATTGCCCTCTCAGAGTTTCATCAGTCTTGCAGTATTAAAAGGAACAAAAGTAACTGAAATGCTTCTGACTGAAAAGGCTCCTTTTGCTCCAGTGACAAGGAAATGCTATATAGTCCTCAATTACTTAATTATCTAACTGATGTTTTTACTATATTCTTTTTTAATGTCCTCTCCACCTGTTATTTTCAAACTTAATGATAGTTTTATAACAAGAACGGTTGTTCAGTTTAAATTGGATTGAGACTTTCTACTTTGTTCATAAAGATGATGCAATAGATCTCAAATAACAGTAACCTTTGATCATGTTTGGCACTAGAGTTGAGCTAACGATCTCAAGAGAGGAAACATTACCATTTTCATAAGAAGCTAAATCATAGCAATGCTTGAATTAATAGAAACATCCAAATAAAGACCTTGGTTAGTTTTGAGAAGCTAAAGCTGACAAGTGGTCTGTGTACAATGTACAATTACATGTTCTACCTGAAAAATAAAATAGATGAAAATAAAATTAATTCAATAATCCTGAAACTAAGTTGAACTTGCTATTCCCCAGTATGTTTTGAAACTGCAGAACAGTTTTCCATCCCAGTTTTTCCTCCCAGTTCTGAAACTGGGATTACTATGGCATGTTAGAAAATTCCTCTCTTGTACCCTCCTCCAAACTAAACACAGGAATTCTCCAAGACTGCTGGATGAAAGCAATGCTCTGCAGATCCCCATCACCATCACTGCCCACTGTGGGCTCCTACCATCACCAGTGTTATGGTTTATGCTATGAGTCCAGCCTTCAGCTTTAGAGAGTGAGATGGGGGAACTTTTCTTCCTATAATATGTGAAGGAATAGTCTGATAGAAGTAACCCCTCCCATCCTGTTGCCCAGCATCATTAATCACTGGAGAGGCTATAAAGGAAAACCTGTAAGACTTTTAAATACACTTGGGCCTGCAGAGCTCTTAGGTTTTTTCAGTCAATGATATGCATTACCTGCTTACCAGTTCTGACCCATGGCTGTCTTCCCAATCAGGAACATTTGGGTCTATTTAAAAATGAGTTTCAAATATGTAAGGAGTCATCATGTGCTCATTAGCTTTCCAACAGCCTTTTGGTTCCAGCAGCAGAATCCAGGCCCTAATATCATATTCCTGTTGCACTCACATTTTATTCTCCAGCCTTTTAATTCTCAGCCACCAAGCCTTTCCCTAGATGAAAAGTGTGTCAGGCATCTTTCACTATTTGACACCTGACTCCTCTGGAAGGAAGAGGCTATTAGAAAAAATCTTAATACCTGGAGAAGGGTGGAGAAATCACAGAAATTTAAGATGTTTATAAGGTCAGCTGTACAGGGTAGATGAGGACACCACATGGTGAGCTGCAAGGAGGTGATCCCATCTCCCTGCACATGTCCTTGCATGACATGCAGGAGTTGTGAAATGTCCATGGGTGGGAGTCCCCCACTCCCTTCTCCCCTTGACCTGCTCCTGCTATGCCTGCTAAATCACCATCCTGCTGCAGTCTCCTTCAGGCTTACACAAGGGTGGGCTCCAGCAAGGCCTGACAAGTGCAAGATTATCACTCCTGCTTCTCTCTGTGAAGTGTTAATGTAATCCCCCTGTGTACTCCAGGCTCGAAGTTGTCTCCAGCATTCTTTGATTTTTTTATTTACTGTTTCTAATAGTTTAAGTAAATATTGATGGTTTTGTAATGAATTAGAAATACCAGTGGAAAGACTAAATTCTCAATCATCTAACATATCTCAAAGCAGCTGGGAAAGATACCTAAAATTTGAGTCTCAGCCGAAATCCTGCTCTTGTCCTGCACCTGTTGATGGCATCTTTCTATTTTAGAAATAGTATTATTATGTCTAATTTCTGCTGCAGTAGTGGCCACGTCACAGAGCCACAGTTAAGTCTCAGTGTGTGAAGAACTATGGTACTGTTACTCCACTGCTTGCAGCTTCAGGTCCTGCCCAGCATGTGAGTAAGGTTAGCGGAGCTTGGCTCATTATCAAATAAATTACTACCTTTAGCAAGATAATGATCTCAAGCCTTCTGCAGTGCAGCAATACTCAAACAATGAATCATGTCCTAGAGTTGTCAGTTGCTTCTAGCTTTCCCTCTTTCAGACTGCTGAACTGCATCAAAAGCCCCCTAACACAAATCAAATGAATGTGTCTTGGTTTGAGTTTTCCATTTATGTGTATTGAATTGTTATAATAATTTTATACCATCTTAGGTGGCACAGAAAGTAGATCCTGAATCTAGGATAGTGGGTATGTAATATAATCTGCTGAGATGTGAGTCTTCCTGTGAAAAATGTTCAGGTCTTTTCCCTGTATCCCTGAGAAATTTTGCAGATACATATAAATTATAGCCACAGTAACCCATAGTGATTTGTATTGTCCAATGTGTATATCCATACAGATACGCATTCAGAATCAGTAATTTCCTCCTTATTGGGCTTTATGTGGGTGATATTCAATAGACGTTTTCCTCTGGGTGAGGTGATGAATAGCTGTGATCCAGGCAAAGGAGCTGCTTTCTCTCCTCCTGCTGCTCTGAAGTTCCCAGGGGAAATAAACAATGCATCAGACAGGCTGGGTCCTGCAGCAGGGAAGCAGGGAGATTCCAGTACTGCTCTTGCTAAAGATATTTCCATAGATTAGGGCATATGAGGAAGGAATGTACTTGTAACACCCAGGTTGCTAATAAAACTGAATAAACTTGATTTGGACACTGAGGAAATAATGCCTGTATACACAATTAGAAGCACAAACTCTTGGAACAACATTAAAACTGTTACTTAATTCAACAAGCATTTCAGGAAATACTAAGAACAGGATGACTTAACAGTCCCAGTTATCACTCATGAGCTAGCCAGCTTCAGAACAAATCTGTTCCACCACATTTGCCTGGTTCCTTTATAATAGCACAAAGTCTTAGTGCAACATAAAACACAGACTGTCACCCACCACTGCACATGTCCACCATCTGAGCTTAAAAAAAATCAAAGCAGTGGTGGTGGTGAACCTGCAACATGCCAGAGCAGTAGTAATATAAACCAGTTGTTGCAATGCTGTGGAAAGAGGAGGGGTACGATGTAGTTCCCTAAGTCACATAGATGTTACTATGCTCGTGCCCTTAAGCTTCCTGTGAAATGGACAGTTGTTGAGAAAAGCATTTTTGTGAGAAATACAAGAGGAGGGCCTTTAACTCTAGAATGAGGGTAGTGTTTGAAAACACTTTCAAAAATCCTTTACTGTGGCCCCAATCATTAGCTAACACTTGCTGTGCCTCAGTTCCCTCATCCCTACTAGGACCGAGCCTGTCAGAATTCAAAAAGCGTTCAGACAAACTGTCAGGAACATGGTGGGGTTGTCATGTGCACGGCCAGGAGTTGACCCTGTGGGTCCCCTCCAATTCAGGATACACAATGATTCTAGAGAAACTAGTACCGCTTCTGGGCCACTTCTGGGGAAGGATGTTAGCAGCTCCACAGCTTTTTACTTGTGCTAGCTTGGAGCACGAAAATGGGCCAGCAGTTCCGAGATCTACTCCTTTGCTTTGATAAGAACAGCACACGGGGTTCCGCGTTTCAGCTGCTTTCCTGACTTTCAGGCGCGACCACCAGGAGGTCAGAACACATCCGAGAAGCAAGATGAGCGCATTTCCTCTCCGTCCGCCGTGCCCTCGGAGCAGCACCATCTGGGAAGCTAATGGGGGAGCCGAGGGACAGATCGGACAGCGGGCTGCCCGGGGCACGGCCGGGCTCCTAGGGCTGGCGGAGCTGGCTTGAAGGAGGAGAGAAGCAGCGAACCAGAGAGCGGCGGCAGCGCGGGCGGGGCGGGCTCTGCCCCAGCCGCGCGGAGCCGGAGCCGGAGCCGCGCCGACAGCGCCGGAGCGCCCGGAGCGGGGCCGCCGACCCGGCCCGGCCCGGCCCGGCCCGGTGAGTCTGTGCGGGAACCCGGGGGTGCGGGGGATGCGGGTCGGGACGGAGCGGCCGTGCGGGCTGCCCGCGACGGGTCGCGTCGGTGTGGCTGTCCCCCGGTTCTCCTGACGGGGCAACTTTTGTTTTGTGCGTGTTCTCCGTCTCGGTCGTACCGGGGCACCGGCAGGGTCGGGCCCCTGAGAGGGGGCTCTGTGCCCACCAAAGTTCTGCAGAGCTTTGGGCGTCCCTCTCCCTGCAGCCCAGGCGGGAGCCGGACGCGGCGGGAGAGCGGCCGCAGCCCCTCGGGGACTCGGCGGGACCGAGCCGAGCGAGCGGAGACCTCTCGGCCATCGCCCTTCGCTGGTGACACAGCCCGTGGTGTCCTGGGGCCAGCGCTGACCTCGGACATGTACAGTCCGTGCAAAATGCATCACTGAGCCTCGCTGCGTGTTCGGTGTTACACGGCATGGGTTTAAAATTTATTTCTTCTGATACTCCACATCTCACCGAAGAGCACAGAGAGTAGGAGTGAAGCTTTCAGTGGAGCTGGAGGGATACTTTCAGTAGAGCTGCTCTTCATGTGTGCAGTCATGTTTCTGAAGGTGGCCAGCAGGTCTTTGTAGCTCAAAGCAGAGTGAGCCAGGATTGTGATAGTGGCAGTCAATGGGCTGTAAAACTGGTGTGCAGAACACGAGCCTTACTGGCCTTCGTCTTCAGCTTGGCAGGCTCCCACCGAAGCAGTGCTCTTGGGAACTGCCATGCTAAAATCCTTCAGGAAAATAGGACATGTTGCTGTTGGCATCTCTTACGTGGTCAGGAAAGATGAGCAGTGTCTCTGAGTGAACATTACTATTCATATGTTTTTAATGAGGGCTGTAGGCCTTGCCCATCCCTTGTGCATGTCCTTCAGGCACAAGTGTTTGCCATGAGCTGCCAGGCAAGGACCTGAGCCACCATGGAGCCAGCACTTGGACAGGAGAGCCACTGTAGTACAACGTATTGTGTTGTGTGAGGTTTTTTAGTTTGGTTTGGTGATGATGGTAATGCTCTTCTGCAGCTCTGACTAAAGTGATTCTGGCCACCTTCATAGCCATCTGCTTTTAAAGTCAGATTTTCCTTAGTATAAGTGAAAGGGGTTCTCTCAGTCCTCAAACAAAAGTAGAGCATACAAATTAGGAATAAAAGCTGTAAGCCTTCTCTTCAACTTTGTTTTCAGCACAATAGATGCTTCATGCTGCTCTCACATGGGAACTGCACATATTAAGTGTGCTTGCCACAGACGTGGAGAAAGGTGAATTGATTTCCCAAATTCAGAGAAGAGTATGAGTACTGGGGCCAGTCCTGAGGGTTTCTTTGCTCCCAGCTGTAGATGACACTATTTTTTGCTTGCATGACTTGTGTGTACAGGACTCAGTGATCTATCTGTGTCCACACCAGTGGCATCTGCAAGGAAGTGTTCTGTGCACACCAGAGGCACTGAACTTGTTTATCAAGAGCTCAGGTGGTGGCCTCTCACCTTTCTTTTTTTGTTGCTTGGAGTATTACTATATACTAAGAACACTTTTTTTTTTTTTTTAAACACTTCTTTTTCTCCCTCAAGTGAGACTAAATAGCCCTGGTCAGTGACTGAGGAATTTGGTTTTCCTGAATAATTGTTTTGGGCCAGCTGATGACTGGGGCAGCCAAAAGCTGCATGTCCTGCTCCTGTTTTGTTTTTCTGTTGGTGCTATCCATGGCAATAAGGGCTCCTGTGTGTCTCTGCATGACGTCTCAGAGGGATGCCAATGCTTGTGATTCTTCTTGCACAGCAATGACTAACATGGGAAAGGAACCTGATCCACAGAAACCTAGCACCAGTGTTTCACAAACTGATCTCACTAATTTCTGAGTTTGTTTTTTAAGTAAAATGGTATGGTTTTCCAAAGGACAATTTTAGTCTGACTTTTACAACTGTCTACCTGTTGACTGTGGTTTCAGTATCTTGGGCTTGCTTGCAAATGAATTAACACAGAATATGAACTCCATGAAGAGCCTGCATGAATCTCTCTGCTGTCCTGTGCTGTTCTGTCCTGCTCACTCTGCTTTGCAGAATTGCAATTGCAATCCATAGCAATGGTGCAATGGAAAAGGAAGCTGAAAAAAGTTTCTGGCTTGTTCCTTTAGATCCTCTTTAAAATGGGCTATTGGGTGGGCCAGCTTTTTCTCTCCCAAGTTTTATTCCAATCCATTTATACTGGGGAAAAAGCAGGTTTGCTGCCAGGCAGCATATTTTCCATCAGCACTTGTAATTGTTGGGTGGCAGAGAGAGGTAGAGACTCTGGTTTCCAGGCTGGAGGGAGAAAACGTGGCCAGGGTGTGCAGTGGGCAGCATTGTCATGTGCCCAACCATGAATTCCAGGTTTTGCAGGGATGTGGGCTCAGCTGTGTAAGCAAACCCTTCTGCCTGCTCACTCCTTGGGGCGGGCAGGGAGGCAGGTGGCCAACCTTCAAGCAGCTTGAGGATGGAGAGCTGCCCTGGGGTGTAGCTGCAGCAGAACTCTGTTTTTAGCTTGTTTATTCTTACACACACACACGTGGGCTATGCAAAGCTGGCTGAGCCAACCTTGACCAGCAGCAAAACAAACAGGTTTTACTGCCATGACCTGAAGGCCACATCAGCTGCTGAGCTTCGCTGGAGCAGGGACAGCTTTCATTTCTGTCAAGGAGAGGAGGCTCTCATATAGGGCTGGCTCAAAACAAACATTGTGCTGGGCTGCTCAGACTTCCTCATGGAAGCAGTGATAACAAGGCTTATGCAAGAAAAGGAGGTGATTTGAGGTACCCAGCATGGCTTGACTGAGGGTAAATCATGCCTGACCAATCTGGTGGCCTTCTATGATGGAGTGACTGCACAGAAAATATCCAGACTTCTGTAAGACCTTTGACGTGATTCCACATGATATCCTCATCTCCAAATTGGGCTGCATCCAAAGTAGCATGGCCATCAGGTCAGGGAGGGGATTCTACCCCTCTACTCCACTCTACTGATTCTCTGTGCACAGTGCTGCATCCGTCTCTGGGTTTTTCAGCACAGGAAGAACATGGAACTCTTGGAGCAAGTACAAAGGATGATCACAGTGCTGCAGCATCTCTCCTATCAAAACAGGCTGAGCGAGTTGTTCAGCCTGGAGGTTCTGGAGAGACATCATTTTGGCCTTCCAGACCTTGACGAACCCATAAAGCTTAGTCAAGGTCTCTCCAACATGAGATATACAAAGTTGAGGGAGACCCTAACAAAAACTCTCTCTTTTGAGATTAAAAAATTATCTTAACAAGTGAATTGTATGCCCCATAGAAGCAGTTCCTGCCCAGCATTTAAGAGCTCCTTTCCTCCAAGCAGACACACCTGCTCTACCTCACTGGCCCTGAGCCACCAGGAGACCAGACATTGCAGGCCCTGAGGGTTTACAAATATCCACTGGGATATTACAGTGCAGATCCAGACCTTTGGGGCTTGGGATGTCTTTCTCCTGTGCTGCTGCTGGTGGTGTTGTGGCACACCGGTTGAGCAGAGGCACCAGCAGCCCTGCAAGATGGGAGGGCTGGACAGAGCCCATTTGCCCAATTTGGCCTCACAGTGGAAGATGGAAACAGAGAAGTGAAACTGTACACACTGTCTGGTCAAAGCAGGTACGTGGGAGGAACTGAAGGAGTTCAAGAGAGCAAGGATGCGTCAAGCTAATGCCCTTAAAATGGGCTTCAGGCTCAGCTCAGCCCACACTGATCGTTTCACCAGGCTTTGGACAAGGACAGTGGGAAAGTTTCAAGTGGTGGTAGCTTGAAATGAGGGAGGTGCATTCCTCCTCCCCAGCCCATTTGTGTACAGCTGGGGAAGAAAAATGTCTCTGTTGTCTGCCTGCAACCAGCTTGTTTGGTCTTCTCCTCCTCCTGGTTGTTTCCTGTTGCATACAAAATTTCTTCACTTCTCTATCCTAAAATATTGTAGTTTATCTTTTGCGGTTCTGTGTTTCACATCTTCCTGTGCTCTTAGCCTTGCTTCCTGCCTCTTCTGTTTTCTGTTTCTCCATTAGCTCTGTAAACCCAACTCCCCGAGCAAGTATTTCTACCTTACAAGCTGCTTACAGAATCTAGATGCCTTTTCTAGACAAACCAATCCCAGACAAAACTGTCCCAGCCCTTGCACTTATGCAGCTGCTCGTCTGACCCTAATCCATTTTAAAGGAGAGTGCTGGTGGGTGAGGATGGAGTCAGAGGAGAGAAGTCCTTGCTTGCCGACACCCATGGGAGAAGCAGCATTTTAACTCTTCCCTGATCACTTCAAACGGATTATTCCTGCTCTCTTGAGCTTTTATGATCATTTTATTAGGTAAGGGGGTGAGTTAATCTCTCTTTTAATCAATCCATAATTTAGATAACTGCATTATGTACCCATCTTCTGCCTGCACTTCCTCATTCATTCGCTGTGCTTTGCAGACTTCCTGGCTGTGCTTCAGTGGCGGGTGACTGAACTGAGTCTTCTCTGCATCACGGTGATTGTAGTAATGTGAAGTTTAATGAGCACCTGCAAAGCTGTGTAGCAGGTAAGTGCTCCAGGGGTCATTCTTCCTCCCAGATTTGATGTGATTTACAAAAGCTTCTTGATGGGCTCTCACTAGGAGATCTTGAGCCTTGCAGCAGAAATGCTGAAAGGAAATTGGTGTGGCTCTTAATTTAGAAATGTTCCCAGCAGTGAGGTACAGACAGCTTCTTGCAAAGCTGAAGTAGCAGTGTTGTGAAGGTTTAATTTGGAAATGGCTTCAGTGTGGAAGATCAGTGTTAACAGCCTCCTCCTTTTGAACTTTCAATATAAAATTGGTCCTATCTGACTGCTTGGTACAGTTGAGATCTAGTCAGAGAGTGATGGCAGAGGGGAACAAAAGGGTCCAAAGCTTTGCTGACATCAGTTACTGATCCATTCTCTGCTGTGGAGGAGAACTTGCCAGAAGTACCTTACCCAGACTGGTAAAGTACTGGAATTCCCCTCTTCTGAGTGTTAGAGGGAGAGCAGATGCCTGGAAGTGCCTGGACAACTTCAGATGATCAAGGGTGACAGCAGAGGCAAAGGGAAATAGTGCTTTCACAAGCCAGCGACGTGTGGAGTTTTCATGTTTGTATGAAAACCCCTAAAAACACAGAAAGGAGAACTGGGTGAAACCAAGATGTCTGGCAGGGCTGTCCTGTGTGTGGCAGGAGGCTCTACAGGCAGCAGTGGTGGGAGGGCAGGAGCTGGAGCTGATGACAGAGGGAGCTGCCAGAGCAGCACTCCTGGCTGCCACAATGTCCTGCTGCAGCCCTGAGTACCTGTTAGCTCATGCACTCCACGTGATTTTTATTTTTTTTCTTACTTATTCTGGATCTGTGTTGGGTGGTGTCTGTCCCCTTTTTCCCATCACAGAGTTCAAACAGCTGCTCTGCTCTAGCAAAGCTCAGCTCAGAGAGCTCCCTGGCATGCTCCTCCAGCCAGCCCTGATCAAAGCTGTGAGAGCTGGCCCACTGCCATTCTCCTGTGTGTAAATGAAGCTCTTTTTCTTTTTCCTTTCCATGCACCATGTTTCATTATTATCCCTCCTCCAGAGGCAGGTTTTTCTGGCTGATCTAGCACGTTATTTGTATCAGCAATATTTGCCTCAAGGCAGAGATGCTTTTTCAGCAGGTATATGGAAAACATCTGATGCAGCCCACTGCCATGTATGTGGCTCAGAAAAACCAAGCATGGTGTTGGCAAGGATGAGGACCATTGCTGCCAGCTGTTGCAGACATTAAGCCCTGCTAGGCACAGTCTCCAGCTCATTGGGTTATTCTGGTTGCCTGGCAAAGGAAAACTGTTACTGTTCCTTCACTTTTGAAACCAGGGGAAGAGCACGTAGAGAAGGTTCTTGTGCCTGGGCAGGAAAAGGGACATGAGTTATAAGGTGTCAGCTGAGCCACCTGTGTGGTTCAGCTCATCTTTCCCTGGGTTGCCTCTGGGAATGGTGGGTGCTTTCAGTTGAAAACGTAGAATTTGTGGCAAGACCCAGAAAAACCAATGTAAATCAGCTTGAGGGTGCCTTGCTTTCAGCTCTTCCAAGCTGCTGAGGGTTTGATAGTGAGCACCTGATGAGGAATGGGAGCAAATGGTTCCCACGCTGTTTGCAGGGAGGTAGAGAAGCTCCCTGAGACAAGATACCACCTGCCTGTGGCAGGATCCCAGCAGGAATACAAACAGCTTGTTTGGGAGAAAGCACATGCAGTGATAAGGAGACTTTCCTGCAGGTAGGGGCAGCTAAGCAGTAGTCTAGACTGCCTTCGGAGGCAGAGATTTGCTGGAAGCTTTTCAGAACAAAGTAAACAGAGACTTGCCAGAAATCATTGAGGCACAGAGTAAGCCATGCGTGTAGGCAGAGGGAATAAACTCTATTGCTTTTTCAGACCTCTTTTTCCTTGTATTTTTTAAGCTCCTGTAGAGTGGCAGAGCTAAGGAGATGTTCTCAAGCTTAAAATGTCACACTTGATATTCACAGTGTAATGCTTCTCAGAGGGGCTTGGTGTTCTGTATCTGCACCCAGAATGCTTCAATCCTAATCTGTTTCCTCCTGGATGTTCAGGTGCCTTTCTGCCACTGGTTTCAGAGGAGAGTTTTATTTCTAAAGCCCTTGGGGAATTTAGCAACCAAATACTATTGGAAATGTGAGGGAAAATACTTAAAATTTCAGCAGCACACAGACACTTCTGCACTGCAGATTGCAACTCATTCATGGTAATTAAAACTTGCCCTTATCTTCCAGCCTTGTAGGGGCAAGAATGGAAGGGATGTCTTTATTTTGGCTATCTGGAATCCATCAGTTGACCCTCCCCTCCTGTAACACACAATGACACAAATTATCTGGCACAGTAGGTGACTTAAGGACAGAGCTCTAGTGTGGTCCCACCTAGTGAGCTACTTTGCTCAGCTCCCACATAGCTATATGCTCAGCCTGAGAATCATGGCCATGCTGTTCTGCAGCCAAAATGAAAAGATGGTCTGAAGGTACTTGGATTATGTTTATCCCACCTTCCTGTTGACTCATAGCTGCATTGTGCTTTTGGAAGAGGTGCAGGGCTATGATCTCATGCTCTGACAGAGTTACAGCAGAAATGTTGACTGAAAGGGATGTGTTTGTGTGCAAGGCAGCCACAACACGTGCTCCCAGCTCAAGCCTTGTGTTTGCTGCTAGTCCTGGACGCTTTGGGTCTGCCATGTGGAGCTGGAGGCTGTGCTCCTTGCTGAGCTGCTTGCCTGCTCAGCACAGGGGGTTTGTGCCTGTGAGCAGGGGCCCCAGCCATGACTCACAGCTCCCATTACGTGGTAACTCAGCCTTTAAGTGAGAGGCTGTCCCTTGGCTTTCAAACAAAGCCTTCCTTTGTTGTGCTTAGGTTATAAAGAAAGCAACCGTATGTGCTCACCCCACACATCCCAAATGAAAACCACGTGGCTTCACAATCTTAATATGTGTGTGTTTGATATTTCTTCTGCAGCACTGCAAGTTACATTGCTCCTTTCCCCTTGAGTCTTTTTAGAGATTTTCTTCCCAGCATTCAGTTTACAAATTCTTCAGCAAAACAAAGAGCTTAGAGATGTTTCCTTTTCTTGGTAAGAAGAGGGGACTGAGCAGAGAGCACATGAAAATTATTAAACATGAGTGCATGTGGCAATAGGCTGTCTCTGAGTCATTCCCTCGGGTGAAAATGGCTCTGGGTTGGTGGCCACGGGTGCTGAAAGAATGAGCTTCATGGAAATATTGTAGGGAAGTGGGGCAGTTTGTTTTCTTGTATGACTTTTTTTTTCTTCTGCTGCTTTTTATTTATTCAAACTTGTTTTGAAGAGCGGGATTAGCCAGAAGTACTCTGCAGCCAACATATTTTTGTGCATGCGTCTGCCTTGGCAGTTTTTAGGTTTATGGCAAGTGAGCCAAGACTGGGATTTCTGCTTCCCAAAGCATTTGTGTTGTTTCTCCTGATCTTTTCTAAAGTCATTAGGTAATGAAGTAAGAGGGTTTGATTCTTCTTCAGAGGCTGTGTGCAATGCACAGTGTCTCTGCTTAGATCAGGGAGTCATCTTGGTGAGGGGCAAGGAAATGGGGCAATGCAGTAAAAGTGCTCTTGTTCTCTCTTCCTTCCACACCCTCTACCCATCCCTGCAGGGGCTTTCACAGTCGGTCGGGTTGTGGTTTTTTTTTTAGTTTATTTAAAGAACTATATTGTGTTAAAAAAAAAAAGCTGGGATTTCAGGCAACAGAGTAAAGCATTGCTTTTGATTTCTGTGGTGATGCTTTGGCAACAATAGCCAGCTTTTAAATACAGTTCTTTCCCTATTGTTTGAATACAAACAGCAGTGACTAGTTAGCAAAACAATGGTCCAATATCACACAAACCTTCAATCCCATCCAGTGGCGTTGGGTCCTGCCTAAGCAGATACTTGGGCCTGCAGGTTTCCTGAGCTATGAGTGTGGCTTTGTCGCTGAGTCAAGACTGTGATGGAGTAGAAGATCTCAGATCAGCCAAATTCCCAACCCAAGATGATAATTTCTTTTTGCTGTGTTTTTGTTCAGTGTCTCAGTGTGGAAGTGTCTGGTGACTGCTGTGCTTTCCACTGTCTGTAATATGTAAGTGCTCGTTGTTCATGGCTGAAATGGGACTTGATAGTTTCACATGTAAAATGTAATCACTCTGCAAGTCATGTCTGTGCCCTGCCAACATCTACATGTGCTCTTCTGAGATGTGCTGGAGTGCTGTATCCCTGCTGGGAAATCAACTTTCTAATAATGCTTCCACCAATTATTTTAATACCAAAGCATTTATTCCAGTGGGTGCACGATTAAGTTGAATGTACAAGGATGCATATTCTTACCACAGGATGAGGAGAGCCAGGGTAACCACTGCCTGATTTAACAACACTGGTGTGGGGTTTTCCCACCTTGCTGAGAATTAAGTGGGGAAAAGGAGGGCAGATTTAAACAAACATCTTGTCAATTGATGTCTTTCTCCACTCAGCACCTCTCTCTGAGGTGAGTGCCAAGTGGGTGGGACCCATGAGCCATGGCTGCCTCACGTGCAAGGAGCTGTGGTGTGGCTGAGGGGGTGACAGCCAGAGCAGGGCCCAGCATGAGCACGAGGGGGAGGCCAGAGAGGATCTGTGCAGTGACAGTGCTCCATCCATTGTGGTTGACACTCTCAGGCTTTTGGTGGAGCAGCAGGAGTGTTTGTCCATCTGTGCTGATGAAGGATTGGGCAAGGGAATGACCAACTATTGCCCAGGCTCCCATCATGTTGGGGTGGAGAAGGAGGGTGCTGGTAACGGTGGTAAGCTAAGGGGTTTTTTCTTTGCCTGTGTCTTTTCTCCTCTTAAAAAAAAAGAACCCAATACCAACAAAACCCACAAAAGCTTGGTTTACTCAAGTTGTTTTCCTCACTATTAACAGACAAAACCAAACAAAATTTATTTGGCTTAAAAATACAAGCTGTTCCTGGCTGTAGTCCTACTACAACAGCTCCCTATGTGGGTGGGAGTCACATAACATACACA